TAGCCCAGGTGGGAGCAGGGGACCTCAGGGACCCATCACCAACACCCAGCTGTGGGCCTAACATCATGGGACAGTCTCAGCTCCGTGCTGGTTAGGACCAGGAAGTCATGTCTGGCTCTCAGGAGACACACTTGTTCTCTAGAGCTACGACCAGAGAGTCATCTGCCAGAACCAAGCTGCCTCACCACCAAGCTTCCTGACACGCTCACGTATTTGGTCCAAAGGAGACAGGACCCTGGGGAGTATTACTCAGCAACGAAAAAGGGACAGATTCCTAATACATGCAACATCTGTGGATGGGTCTCAAGGTCATTGTGTTGAGTAAGGCCATCTACTCTATGCTTCCATTTATATAACACTAGAGGCACGGTGCATGAATTTGTGCACCAGTGGGGTCCCTTGGCCTGGCTTGCAGGATCAGGCCAAAACCGGCTCTCTGACATCCTCCAAGGGGTCCTGGATTGCAAGAGGGTGCAGGCCAGGCTGAGGGACCCCATCAGTGCACGACCGGGGCCAGGGAGGGACATGGGAGGTTGGCCAGCCCGGGAGAGACTGCAGGAGGGCTCCAGGGCATGTCCGGTCCGTCTTGCTCAGTCCTTATCAGCCGGACCCCAGCAGCAAGCTAACCTATCGGTTGAAGCATCTGCTCCCTGGTGGTCAGTGCACATCATCGCGACTGGTTGACCAGTGGACTGTCTGCCCTCTAGTAGTCAGTGCACATCATACTGAGCAGTTGAGCGGCCTTAGCATATCATTAGCATGTCACTCTTTGATTGGTTGAACGGATGACCAGATGAGTGGACACTTAGCATATTAGGCTTTTATTATATAGGAGTCTCAAAATGCCTAAATACCAGGGGATAGGGAAGGTGTGCGTGGAAGGGGTTAGAAGAGGGAGGCCTTTGTGATGGGACAGTGATTGTGGTGGTTAAACGCATCTCCACATGTCATCAAATGGCCGAGAACTAGATGCATGCATTGCAACAATATCCTTTTCCTGGTTTTGATATTGCACTGGACTGCACACTGGGGGGAACTGGGGACAGTACATGGGACCTCTCCATGCTATCTTTGCAGCTTCCTGTGAATCTATAGTTATTTAAAAACAAAAGAACAAGACAAAACAAAAAGGAGATGGTAGTCACGAGGCCATCATCTGGGGAGACGCAGCCTCATAAAAAAATATCCTTGGAGTCTGTTTTAAGGCTTTCATTTGAATTCTTGCCTGTTTTCCTGAAAACATTGTACACAGAGGTCCGTTTTCCTAAGCCCTCCTGAATATCCTATCACACGAATGGCGTTACCACAGTGTTCTCACACACGGATGTAGTCCAGGCGCACAGAACATCAGCCAGAAAACTCTCATTCTGAGTGGAGAAGACAGGTCCACAATGGAGGAGAGGCCTGGCCATGGCCACCCAAGTAGCCAACGCAGCCACAGGGCCAGGGGTGAGACCCGGTCCCAGCCCAGAGTCCCTCTACGGCGCCACCCGCCTCCTCCCTGGGCAGCCCTCCGTCCCAGAGGTTTGAGATGGCATTAAGATTCAACACTCATCCGAAAGAAAGTTCAGTCTAAAAAACAACATCTGAAGAGCATACCAATGATACCAGGACATCTCTTTTAATTGCCTATTCACGCAGACAGATTGTCTTTTTATATTCAGAGCTAAACTCGGAGATGTGTCCTTTTGTGGGGCCCTCGCTATCTGACTGCCTCATCAGGAAGGGGAGCTCGTGTGCAATGTGATTGCTGAGCGCCAGTTCTATTTTTTCCCACCAAGAGGAAGTTTAAAATCTGCTGGGATATTTATTTTATTTTATTTTTTTTCCCCTGCTGGGTTATTTTTAAAGAGGGTGAAAAAATAGGCATGATATCGGCTTCCGGCTTCTGCAGTGGCCCTGGCCAGAGGCACGTGCTGTTGGGTTCAAGGCCTTGGCCAGCTACGGGGAGGGGACCAGAGGTGATGGGACGTTTCACCAGGGAGGGGTGGGGAGTGAGTGTCACACAGTCAAGTGGCAGAGAAGGTCACGGGCCTGGCCGTGCCCCTGAGGACAGCGAGCCTGGGTTTCTCTGGAGTTGATCTAACAGTTGGTTTCATTGGGGGATGTGTGATGACTCCCCTCCTTTCCAAAGGGCCATGGTCCCCAGTCCTGGACTGAAAGTTGGGGCTCCACTGGGTCTGGGACCTGCTCATTCTTTGTGGGGCTTTGAGCTTTAGACTCAAGTCATCAGCGTCACAAATGTGTCTCACATTTCTGAGTAGATGAGGTGCTTGGGAGAGTGACTGCTTGCAACTATAATTTAGGAAACATTAGGGAAATGCAAATTAAAACCATGAAGAGCTACCACCTCAAACCAGCCAGAATGGCTATTACAGAAAGGTTAACAAATAACACGTTGGCGAGGATGGGGAGAAAGAGGACCCTGTGCCCTGTGGGAGGGACTGCAGATTGGTGCAGCCACCATGGGAAACACTGTGGCGATTCCTCGAAAAACTGAAAACAGACCAATCATTTGACCCAGCAATTCCACTTCTGGGTATTTTTTCTGAAGAAAACAAAAACACGAATTGGAAAAGAATTTTGCACCCCCATGTTCATTGCAGTGTTATTTATAACAGCCAAAATATGGAAGCAACAGATCAATGGTTTAGGAAGATAGCACACACACACATGCACACAGGAACATTACACAGCAAGAAAAAAAGAATGAAATCTTGCCATTGGTAACAACCTGGGTGGACCTAGGACAGTGGT